ATTCATTGTTGTGACATTTCAAACTCTTCATAAACTTCCACTATCTTCCCTTCTTCAGAGCCCTATCTAACTATGTGGAAAAAATATGAGTAGCTATCATTCATATGCAATAAATGCACTATCCACCAATATCTCATCAGCAATTAAGCGATATCGTAGGCAATTGATTCATTATTCATTATGTTCATGTCAGGTAGCACCACCACACATCGATTCAATGTGAAAATAAATCACCGACATTTCAATATTCATATATTCCATTAGACATTCAAACACCTATCGAAAACAACACCGATGAATTAATTCATTTCTCGTAATTTATTCTCCTCTCGGATATGGAATATGCGATAAATCAAATAAAATACACGCTAACTTTTTCATTCTTGCCATCATTCATTCATGATTTCACTCACTGTTAGCCAATACGTGAAACTTTTTAAATGAAACTAGAAAAATTTCAAATTACTTTTTTTTTCATTCCGTTACACTGCTTATTTTTATTTCAGTTGTGCTTTTNTTATTCAATTGCTTGCTGTTATTCACTCAACGAGAACGAGACAATGAATACGAAGACGAAATTCTCTCGCGTTTACGCTCATATTTCAAGACATATTTATTCTCATCTAAAACATATGAAGCATCTAAGATTAGAAACACTATCGATCTTTTACAACAAACACTTTATTATTGTTGAGTGGCAGAAGTGGAATATTTATTACACGTTGTGTTCCATTCGTTGCTGTTTACATGAACTACAGCTCTGTTAGATAACTAACGATTAGCTGTGACAATAACACCAAACAACCAGTAGGTCGTTAACTAGCGTTCATGTGCTGCTGTACGGCCATTCAGGATGATTAGTGGCTTGCTTGCCGCACTTGACTAGGTCTAGTCTGCTGATCTTTCGTCTGGACTAATGGATATATGGAGCCAGATATACGAGGATAAGAGGAGAGTCGAGAACGGCTCCCAGAGAAGTAGGCAATTCCACTCATGAATGAAGATTTGGCTGCATGACTGAATGACGAACGATCTGATTATTGAATGATGAGGTTACGATATACGAGTGTGTAGAGCTCTAGATCAGACAGAGGCTAAACCAAGAGCCACCGAGCCAAGAAAGAAGGGGACAGTTGAAAGTATGAACCAAAAGTGGCTAAAAGACAGAGCCCACTGACAGAAAAAAAANAAACAATTGAATAAATTGCGAAATATCGCCTATTTCCATACAATATTCTAAGTGATACTTGAGAATCTCAATTTTATTTCCAAGTGAACATGCTGGACAGAGGTAAAACGAATGCGAATTCTGATAATAAATATGTGCTTTAAGAAATTTGCTGACACTGAGCTCTCATTCGAATATCTGACGAATAAAGAATCAACAGCTGGAGACTTTCAACAGATTCTTGTTCACCATTAAATCCCATATCGGCGTTTCTGAGCACTGCCAACGTAATGCTCTTCAATAAGTCGCCCCATACAGCAGTGTTTCCAGGATTCCGGGAAAGACACCAGTTCATCATGAGCATTGCAGCGCTTATTCAAGATTCAGTTTACCCACACGCATACCTACAGGCGATCAGTATGGATGACCATTGAAATGAATGCTAACTGCAATCAGTTTATTCGCTTCTAATGCTTCCATCTTCTCAATTTACCAAGCCCTTTTAAAACTCTATGAATTCAATTAATTTTCATTCGATATCACCAAGAACTTTTGCGCTCAATTTTAAGCAACTTCAATGTCCGTAAAATTTCATTGAATTTTGAAGATGACTGAAAATCCGTCTGATCAATTCAATTCAGACGATTATAACATCGGAATTCTTTCGGTTATCAAATACAGTAAAGAACTCTCTGATCTCGTTCATTCATTAATATTACACGAAATTGCTTAAGAAATATGATGGACAAAATGAACGATTCAACTGCATTCAAATTAAACAACTGGCTGAAGAATGGAAAGAAGAATTTTTATTTCTGATCAATATCCAAANCATCGCGAATAGAAGACGTCGACTATTATCCAATTTTCCTCAACAACTATATCTTCAAGGATATTTTCTCATTTCGAGTGATGTTCCAATCACAATTATTAACGCTTCGAGAACAATTTAGTGAATATATTTTCAAATGTCATTGAAATCAGAACAATGATAACACATTCAACTGTTCTGAAGGCAATTATTTTGCAGTAAATCACTGTGGGTGTTATCCGGGCATACGGGAAACTATTATCAGAAAATGCTTCCCTGAACGATTTTGTACTTCCTTTGGCTTCACTTTCTTGAATAGTACATGAAGTTACATTCCCCCCAAAAAAAATCATTAATACGCTTTTTTTCCGGTATATCTTCAATTTCGCAGACAAGTGCTTCAGAAAAATATCCACAATCAAAGCAATCCAGAAGCCGTCTGTCGCGACAAGAAAATCCCAAATGACTTCCTCAGAACGAGTCTATGATCACCTCTCTACATCCGTTTGTATTCGTTTTTCTGCTATATCTTAAGATAACACATCCTGACATACAGTCCAGTAGGGGTGTCTGACACAATGCAGATATGTACATTCGTATGAATGCTCGGTTAGAAACGTATTGCGGAGTTGTTGAAAATTCATTGGATGCTTGTTTATAAATTCAACTAAAATATCAAGGAAGTATCTCGTTTCGAATGATCACACAACATTTACGCTATAAACTGTTGTTCGAATATATTTTGTCTGTTTACAGCCAAATGACATGCTCGTTTTGTTCTATTTATCATGTGATACAATACATGAAAAACAATTCGATGGGTACACGATTCCCGTATAAATATCAGATTGTTGCTTCATCTGTTATGAATACGAAACGTATCTTCTATCTGATCAACGATAAAAGCAAATAAATGATTTCATGTGATGACGATGATGATGAATAAGACAAACAAATGAATGAACTATCCGATGAAAGCAATTTTATGAGTTTCACGTTGACAATTGCTTGTCGAGTTGCTGTTTGAAGTGAAACTGCCGTACTGACTGATATCGCTACTTGTTCAATATACTTGGTTGACAATGCTAAATTGAGAATTTCAGTGATCTACTATGATGATCTGTTTGAACATCTACGAATAGTGACAATCAAAATCGTATGAGCAATTAAGTTTACAATGAATTAAGTTTGCAATTATAGCAGCCAGCTCATGGATAAATGTTGATTGTGAGAAATGTGGATAGTTTAAGTGATCGCAGATTGAAGACAATACTCCAACTGTTGAGATGAAAATTTCAGCGATACAATTCGCGACAATATGGAAGAATTCAAGCGTTATGTGAGGTTTAAGTTGAAACCGAATGAGGTATCAAATTTTATTGCGATGATAAGTTTGATGAGCAAGAGAATGAAGTGACTCTGAGCAGGTCATTCGGATATATGGCTTGCTCGGATGGATTCCATATGAGGAATATGAAACGTGATAGACAAAAACAGGCAATTCGGACAGCTGGTAAAAATCAATCATTTCAACTGATCAACTATCGTGTTGAAAATCTAATGAATGCGTTTTTTTTCGAGACCTTGAAATATAAGTTTGTTTTGGACTTCGGTAGACTCAAGATTGATGCGACGCTTAGATGGGTCTCAAATGTTTCCGAAAATGTCAAGGCCAGCTGGAACAGATGAACTGAAACGGTTCTGTGCTCGATGATGAGATGGTGCTCGAATTTGAGTTGCGTCAACGAGATAAGTTCTCTGAATTATGCAAAACTCGATGAGTTTTCGAAGATCTTCAAAATAACTGACCTGTTGCAAGAGGGCGATTTGTTGTTGAGTTGCTGCGGCTGTAGCAGCACAATTGCTGTTAAGTGAAGGAGTTGTGGTTGTTGGTGAACCATCAGCAGCAGCAGCAGGTAGTGAATTCGACGATGACGTTAGAATATAGTCGAGTAAAGGTAGATGAACGGCTGATGTGGTGGAGGATGCCTGTGATGAGATACTACTTGCACTGCTACTCTCGAACGACGACTCCTTCTGATTATCGCACATCACTCACGGATTATCAGCCAAAACTGTTGTTTACAGGTAAAACAAGAACACAATAACAACACTGATACTAACAGCCTCAAGACTAGTACAATACAACACTTTCAATAGTCTCACTTTACTGATGCCAATTTTTACGGCGATTGATCAGTTCAATTGAACAGTCGGATCAGATCCGAATCAGTCGAATAATATTCAACAAGATTCAAAAATCGACAGCAAACTGCAAATTAGAAGTACAAATTCGACTGCCTCAAATAAGTTGAATTTTCAGTCGTCGGATTCTGTGGAATTCCCAGTGAACGATAACGATCCTTGCAGTCGTGTAACCATATAGAACATCTATCTATTAATGCCAATAAAACATAATTCGGCTGGTAGCTGCTATTGATTCAGATAGAGCAGATTTGCAGAGATATGTATGTGACTGTGCAGCAGCAGCAGCAGCAGGTAGGCGGATTCAGCAGCAGCAGCAGCTCTTGATACAAATACCAATCACACATCAGCAACACTATCGATCCGGCGTTGATCAATAAGCGATCGATGCGTTCGTTCTTCCTCTATCTATTAATAGGTCAATCATCAACAATTAATCATCATCCGTTTATAACGCCAACCCAAGAACACATCGTCGTCATCGAACGTTCAGCGTTCGTCAAACAATTGCCAAATGCAACAAATAAATCAAACTTAAAGAAACCTTGAATATGAATCATGAAAAATGAACGACGAAACGACGTAACGGAACCCTTCCGAACCGAATAAAACGCACAAAACGAACTGATTAGACAAGCGCTGAATCGAAGACGTCAACGAAAAAGAAGTGTCAAGTTATTTTCAGCGGTGACAATGACACTCTCCGAACTAATTGTGAACAATAAAGTTTATACGAAAGAAACGAATGATTCTAAAAATACACGCAGACACTCACATTTCAACATTGACAGCTCGTGGATCAAACAATTATTTTTCATCTCAACTCAAGACACATCATACACAAACAACAATTGCATATGATGATGTGAAGAGCATAAAACAGCGATAAACGGTTTTATTAAACAAACACAAACGCCTTCAATTGTTGCTTAAGATCAGTTGAGTTCAGATGAAAAGATTGAGTGAGCGGTCGTTGAATTCGAATAGAATTATTATAGTAGAACTACTGAAATGTTTGAATGGAATAAATGAATGAATGAAGCATTGCTTGTTGTTGCTTACTCGCATGTTGGATCGCTTACTTACTTACTCATCTATTACTAGTTAAATAGTGGCCGATCGCTGCTTCGTCTGTTAGCCAGCCATTTTAATAGAATGTTGGTTAATGGTTGTTGAATAAGCGCTGCTGCAATTTTAGTTCCAGTCTTATTGTCCAGTATCAATATCAGTTAGTATCATTATCACTATCACTATCAGTATTAAAGGTTTCTTCAACAAGCGCGAACCGCAAATGAATTGAATTGCACTGCATTGGATTACATGGCCGCATTGAATCGAACGAATTGAAATACGAATTCAGTTGTGTGTGTACGTACGTACTGCTGCTGCATTGAAATTGTGAAATTATTTGTGCTACTGTCAAGCTGCATTCACTCCCATTCTACACAGTCTTTTCGCTGACACTCTCAATCTTTTGAAACGCCGAAAGCATTAAACAACGATGGAGATCATGAAAAACTGTTGGGAACTAGAAGAAACACGATGGATGAAAGCAGTGAACATGAACTACAAAAGACGAACGCCAGTCAGTGAAACTTTTATCAAATTCAGCAGTGGAAGAGTGCAGAATCGGAACGAAACGTTATCGTGTGTGAAGCATGCGACCGGGAAAGCAATAGAGCGGCTGGCAATAGTCATAGAATATTGGAGGAATATTCGAAGAGAGGAGGATGAACAAGAAGAAACGACGAAGAGTGATGATTGTTGATGAATTAAAGCAGTAAATATGATCGACGAATGAAGCAAGGAATGTGTTGTGCTGGTGATGGTGGTTATAGTGTTTTTAATGGCGATGATAACAGATGAGGCAAACAATTTTAGCGACGATGAGGATGAGAAAACGTTAGGAAGACAAGGAAATGAGGCAAATAAACTGAATTGAAAATGAATCCAATGGAATGCCAGCCGGTTGTTCCAGTTGCTGCTACTGACTGTTGTGCTATAGAAATGTTGCTCCACCAGTTCACTCAGTTCATTTCTATCCCTTTCCGTCCTCCTCCCGTCGAATCTATCATTGCATCGAGCGTTTCTTCGAATTCCTCACGGTCTCATCGAAACGATTCCTTCTTTGATTCTTTCAAACGCTCTCTTGTGACTGCCTCCTTACCCTTCAGAGAGCCTTTCTCACGTTTCTCATTCATCATGTGTGTCTCATTATTTCATTTCGTTTGCATTTCATTTACCGGCTTACTTCTGCGATCAATTCATCGCTTCCATAACGTCTGTCCACATCGCACCAGCTGTCAACAACACGTAACGTTTAAACAACACTTCGGCTATGGGTATTCCCCATTTTCCTTTCTCTCTCCGTTCCCGTTCCAGTTCGCTGTATTCACACCACAAGCCACCTCGCCAGCCGGCTCTCATCGACTCCACACACACAACAATTGCATTGCGTCTCACACTCTTGCGAGCGATTTTATCCCATCTCTCTAAATGACGCTCTCGACTCTCGACTAAACCAACATCTATAACGTCTCGATATCAACCAAAACACGGACAAATATGCATAAACAATGACACGAATCGAATCGCACGTTCATATAACCACCAGCAGTCTAAACGGTTGTCACTCAGAATCGCCATATTTCCTCAGAAATCAAGCATTCTAGACCCTCCATCTGCGTTAAGGCATGCGAAAATTCCTCTCGAAACGGCTTGGTCCCGACGTTTCCACTCATTTCATTCTGATCATACTTTTGAGCAGTCTGTTTCCTGCAATTTCGCCACAATCCCGGTTGTTTCATATCAATCATCGTTGTGGATCTCAGCGTTGTCTACGCTTCATCTTCTCAGTACTGCTACCGCATTCTTTGCATGGGGCATCCAGCCATCATATGGTTTCGTCTAAAAATAACTTTAATGATCATCCTCATCCAAATCATACGTAATGCTGACGAGACGACGGGTAACGACTTTCAACAGCATCCACGGGAAACGCCTCACTTCCTCCTCGGTTCTCTCTGCTTCGATTCTCTTCTTTCTCACACATTTCAACAATTTTGTTCTCTTGCAGTCTTGAGAAAGTCTTGAGAAGGTCGGGAAGATTCCTCATTGCCAGCCAGTCGAGCGAGGTCTGCTCCAACCAGTCAGTCATTGATCTATTTATTGGTCTGGCAATTCATCTATCGATGTATGTATTCATCCGTCATCAGCCAGCCAGCCACCCAGCTGGTTGCAAGCCATTGTTATATTTAGTTGAGACATTCACTTCACTGAAAACATATTTCTTTACAGCTGCTATTCAAATGACTATAAACTCTTACTATGAGGTGCTCTCGATCTGTTGCGTTTACGATGCGGCATAAGAATGCCTCGCTTGAAGTTATTTTGGGTTATATGTTTGTTTTCGTGCGCTCAAAAATAGAGCGTGACTTCATCGAAATCGACTTGATCAAATTAACACGAGAATGACTCGAATAAGCATGAATATAGAATGAGATATGAAACGCATGCAAATTGTAAACAACAGTGCAAACGATGATCTAAATGGCACTTCTCTCATGAATAATTACAATGAAGCTATCATGATATGGATGAATGGATTTCAGACTTACAATTAGAGATATACTCCAACGTTGTGATCNTACTAAACCTCGTTTGAGAGCAAAATGAAATGTTAGCTATCAAGCAGTTTCCATGTTTCCCTCAAAATTCAGTCATTCACTAAAAATTTTTCAAACTTGCTCTTCGCCTAAGAAATTGTTGTAATCTAGTCTGGAATCAATCTGCTGTTGGCAAAGAAACGAAGCGAATCATCTCATTCGCTTCAATGTTTACCTCAGGCCATTCATATCTTTCTGGATCAGAGGTTTCTGTGAATCTTGATATCTCATTAAACGCTTCACATGCTCATTAATGAGAAAAATCCGAATTCTCAGTAAATGAGAGTGCTCGAAAACTAAAATTCCTAAAACTTCTCATGCTACATTTTAATTTCTACCCTCATCCAAATGAAGAATGTTGCTTGAGGCTCAATATTTTTTCAAATTACTAATGAAGTGATGAAGTTGACGAACGGTGTTGACACAGCCATACGACGCTAAAAGTACATTTCAACTGGAATGTATTCATCTAAATGCACTTTGGATAATACATCTCGTGGAACTCATTAAATGAGTCGCAGCAGTCGTCATCACTACATGTATTAGCCACAAATACGATTGTAGTTTGCTCATTAATTGGTATTCAATTGTATTAATTAATTTCTTATGGCGATGACTCAGTTCAGATGGTGAAAATGATTCGCATTAGTGTCGTTTCTATTGATATCGTTGACAGTATC